TGTTCTGCGGTCCCCTTTCTCAAGTGTCCAAATCAAGGAAAATTGCTACTATAAAACACTTCTGGCGTTTTTCGAGTTAGTGCGTGATTTTTGTACGGGGAAGAAGTGGTATGGGCAGGTTATGACGCGTATAAAAAAAGAGGTACGTGAGTTGATATGACGTCTACACCGGGTTGAGCGAGTCAATCACGTTTTCCACTCACCAGGATCTTTCACACGTGTTTTCGTCGACCTAAATAGTCGACAACTAACGTACAATGACGGCAAAACTTCCAATTTGGACTAAAAAAATGTCGGAGTTTCCTTGCTTGGTCCATGAAGTCTGGAAAAGTTAGCAAAATTTCGTTGCGTGCACTGATACAGTGATAGTTGACCAAAACATTGCGTGTGTGTGTATACATTGCTACAATGCGCATACGCCATTTACATGCAGAATAGAAACGATTACTGTACATGTCAGGAATCTAAGTTTATTTATTTCATCAGAGGCTCAATCATGGGTTTCTGACTTCACGGATTCCGAAAGAAAAAAAATTGCAAGCTTTGGTGTCCCCACCCGCAACACACCCCCTTCTGACCCAAAGAAGCGATCACCCAACAAACTAAGGCAGAGTTGCATCGCTCGAAACGACTCTATTAGCAAGGTAGCTACAAACATGCAACGTTGTAAATTGGGAGGATAGTCTCTGATCACAACTTCCGATGTCTAATAGAAAATTTGTTTCGGAAACCTTTGATTGTTTTTGCTTAAACCGTCTCCCATCGCACTGACGTGTACAATTCAACGCTTCAATCGCCTCACGAGAATTCGTCTTCAACCAGCTACTATATTACCCCTCCCCACAGGGTAAAGAAAATATGACTACGTCCACGTGATAATATTGAACTTTAGCATAAAGACGTGAATGTAGTGCACGTGAAACTGATTGGGTAACCAATCAAACTAAAGCTTACTACATGTGAGTTTTTGCAGCGGGAAGACAGGAAGCACGCATGTATGAAGAGAGTACAAGGTTCGTGTTACGGGTTGTTTGTGTGTTATTCACTTTGACCTGTGACTTGGAAATTCGGGAAAGTGGACACTAACGAACCTTCGATTCTGTACAAAATTGAGCCTGAAATGGCCAGTGGAAAGTCGTCGTATGTCCACTTGGTTGCAGGGGGGTAAGTTTTCGTTCGTATGAACTTCAGCTTTTCCGTTAAAATTCCTGCAATACTGCCGTGCCGTTGCATGTCTTCGGTGGAAACGAATTTCGCTTCCCCTCGAGTAAAATTACTTTCAAGCTTTCCTCGCTCAGTTTTGAATTTAGGGCTTTAATCAGTGACGACTTGCCCTGTTTGAAATTGTACTCGATAATTTTAACCTCAATCTTCTATTAGATTTTTTGGGCAAGCTACATGTAGAGTTCAGCTTAAGCCTAAGCTTATACATGTGAAAATCTTTATAACTATGCAGTGAAAAAGTGCTAAGCTTTGTTTCTTACGTAACTTCTCGTCAAGAAGTCTGGGTTTACTCATAGTATGCCTCTGCTTTGGTCTCTTACTATTTCACACTTGAAATTTTTGATCGTTTTAGTCGAGAATTGCGCTGCAAAAACGCGATTTTGGCATCCAAACGGAAACGGGGGTTGAATAGAGACTGTACTGAATTTTTTAGGTTGTAGCTTCAATCCAGAGAGCAGGAGTGTGGAAATACCAATGACTAATTTGTTTTTCATTCTTTTCAGTGTTGGAGGCACTGTAGGCGCTACGATAACTTGTCCTCTGGAAGTTGTGAAGACGAGATTACAGGTATAATAAATCGATCGACAGAAAATTCTTGTGCATGTTTTTTCGTCACGTGCTTTTCTTCATCGTATGAAGTAGTATTTTGTCTACCAATTTTCCAAATTTCTAACTCGCGCTGCCATTGTGGGGAAACAGGGTTTGTAATCTTACTTTCATCCCCNAAAAAAAAAAAAAAAAAAACAAAAAAAAAACACTTGAGACTGTGAGATGCACATAACTGCTAGAGAAACAAGACTGTGAGATCCATGGTTTTTGAAGGACCATTTGCCACCCCAAATAAGAAGACAGTTGTTAGACAGGGTCTATTGTGCTAGTAAGGTTGAAATGTTGTTCACTCAGGTCTAAAAATGTGTTACCTATTACCATTTCAGTGCTACAAGGGGCCAAATAATGAAACTTATTCACAACATATGGAAGACTGATGGATTCAAGGGTTTCTATCGAGGACTAACAGCGACTTATGTTGGCGTTACAGAGACTGTTATTCACTTTGTGATTTATGAACACATTAAAGCTGAAGTAAAGAGACATAACTGCAAAGTGCGAGGCAATAATGAGAAGAATATAGTGGACTTTTTGCAATTTATGATGGCTGCTGCTACTTCAAAGTGCATAGCATCTGTAGCAGCATATCCACATGAAGTAATCAGGACTCGACTGAGACAGAAAGAACTAGATGGAAAGAGAAGATATCACTCATTCTTTCAGGCCTTCAGGAAAATACTCCGTGAGGAAGGTAGAGTTGGACTTTATGGTGGACTGGGAACTCATCTTCTTCGACAAGTTCCGAACACTGCAATCATGTTTCTCACCTATGAAGCTGTGGTAAATTTTCTGTGCAAGGAAGATCTGCCTTATTGAGCTTATATGTCACAGACTAGAAAGTTTATTCTACTATTTAAATGTGTGGGAAAAAATAAATGTAACATGTATATCACTAGTGCAATAATATATGGTAGGGAGTACATGAAATGAGAAGAAATTTAGTCTCGAATTCAAATGACTTTTTAAGTCTGGTCACTTTGAAAAAAGAGACCTTAATGTTGTACAAACTATGCTCCAAGTCATTGTCATAGACTCCATGGCATTACTAGCCTGATTTAGCGATAATAACTACAGAATTTGGTTGCTTTTTGTATTTCTATTAATTTTTAAGCAACCCACCTGTTGAATTTTACAACCAGATTGAGTTCATGGTTCATTGTTTTCATACTTTAAGTTGTAAAATAGCAATTTTATACTTTTGTACAAAGAGATCTGAAAGATAGTCTGTTCTGCGTCTTAAAAGATAATTTTATATTTGAAAAGATTTATTTAATTAGGATATATTGTTTAAGATTAAAGTGAAAACAAGCCATGTAAACACTGAACTTTACAAACAAGTTGAAGTTTATGAACGTTGGTGTCCTTAGAGTAATAAAGTTATCTTAATGATGTATTTTGTTAGATTGCTTTAATTGACCCTTGGATTTGCTTCTTGTGGGAAAGGAATGACTTTGCTACTGAGTAAATTAGGTCTGGAAATAGTCTCCACAATTTTTGTGCCCTGGTAGGTTTACTTCTCTTGCCAAGAATTGAGGACTTCTCATTTCTAAGCTGGCTTTTGTCAGGTCTTTGTTTTTGTTGTCATACTTTAATTTTGGTTGTCAGCTAAGCTATGTTGTTCTAAGGATTAGTTGGGCAAAGGCTGTCGAGAAAAAACAAAAATTGTTGTTCAAAACTTTAGGCCACCTTTCTGTGTGTTTGCAAATAACCTTGTTTGATATGAGTGACTTGTCTGTTTCTTCTGGTCTTGCGCACGCCTCCAAAGGGTTCATTTCAAAGGAGTGATCTAAGGACTCCTTAGATGTTTTATTGCCTGAATTAGCTGTTAAAGGAATTTCATCAAAACACAAATTCTCCCAAACTTATTCTCTGCATATTTCCTATAATACTAGTAGGGAGGTTCTGTTCTAAAGATGTCCAGACAATTTTCTTGGCCTTGCACATTTATGTTGTACAAAAGGGACAACCTTGTCGGGGTGGAATTGTTAAGAATGTTTGTTATTTGTACAAGTTCATAAACTGATCATATTGCTTGATTTCATAACATCCAGAACCAGTAGTCAAATCTGTGCTGCTTAATAGGTAATTCTCAATTGAGCTGGAGGTCTACTTGGGAAATTATTAACCCCTACCAAAATGTTCTAGAAAATATGCACACCCAGCCCACAGTAGGTCATATGTGAAGGAGTGGTGGTGGGGGATCACTGTAGGTATTTCCCGGAACAGTACAGTGTGCTGAATTATGGAGTAACCATGAGTTTGAATTTCTTAGCCCTCCTTTGTCCTGGTTACATTGAGAAAAATCATTCATGGCTCAAATTCTGAAGAAAATCCATCCCTCCAAAAAATTCAATTTTAAAACCCTGAACAGTTTTATTTGAACCAACTTTATTTGCCAAACATACAACAATCTTCAACTACACCATTTTTAAGAACAATTTTAAGAAGGAACATCTAAAATGTATTATAACCTGAGCAAACTGATGTTGTTTAGTGCTCCACTTCTATTCCACTTTGCATTTTTGCAGTGACCAGAAGTTGAGCAGGAAATGACATCTGTTTTCATCAACATGGGTTTTGAAGAGAGGTTTTTCTCCCTAGCATTATAAAATGTAGTGGGTCTCGGGGTAACATTCTTGAATTTACCAATAAAAAATTATTAATGATCAGCCAGTAATATTGTCTCACAGCTCGCTTTCACTAATCTCTTCAACATAATTGTTCTTTGCCTGATCTGTTTTAGGTAGCAGACACTAATTGAATCTCAGCTCCCACGATATGTTGAATATGAGAATGGACTAAGTAGAAGAGGTACATGGTAGTGTTGAGATGGGTCGCTTATGAGAAACACAATCTGAAAGAAAATGATGGAAAGGAAAATGAAAGGTTACATGAAAATGTGCAGAAAAGTGCTGTGTACAACAACTAAAATGCCCTGTAAGTGTATATGACTGGCCCTTATATATGGTGCTCTGTCAGGGGTTTCAGCAGGTGGGCAACTGGTTTTCACAGGCAGGCAAAACTTTTTGAACTGAACTTCTTTATGAGAAAAACTTTCTTCGAGATGGTCAAACCAGCCAATTAATTTCCCTGGTGTCCAGCCCTTAAGATTGTGTCCATGGCTGGTTCTGCCTGGTTTTCTCATGGACACACTTTTAAGGAAAACCCCTGGCTCTGTACCAGATGTGGGTTAAAATCCCACTAGGGTCTCCAACTACAAATGTTACTTTAGGCTAGGGTTAAAATTTCCTTCACAGGACTAGTACTGCAGGGGGATATGAAATTTCTAGCACTCTTTCATTTAGAATTAAACTTCCTTGCTAACATATTCAAGTCCATGGGATGTGGGCATTTAGAGGTCAAGTAGGGTGGCCTAAGGTGGGAACTATGCATGGTGGTAAATCCTCAATAATTCACTGCTCAGTCTTGGAAGGGATACCACTGGTTTCAAGATTAAGAATATTTTAGAGTGTTAATGGCCACCATTTTTGTGCATATGTTGCCTGTTCCACTAGAACAGGCTGTTGAATCCAGCATTTAGTCATGTTTATATGTTTTACAATGTGAGCTTGTTGGAGCTCTGCTAAGTTCAAGTTATAGAGAAATGATATGAAATGCTATGCAGGACGACTAGTAAGAGGTTACTCTGCCATTAGATTTAACAGCAGTTAAAAAGCAAATTGAAGATATTCAAGTTACCAGTCAACTAGTGAATTGCTTGTCAGGGTTCAAAAAATGTTGATGAGTGTGGGGGCTGAGCTAATTTGTTGCTTGGCTTAGCCCATAACACCTTCACCTACTGGCTTCAGTAGGTAATGCTGTTGTTAACCTGTTTATTTAACTTGCCTGAAGTCAAATTACATTTACTTACCTCTACATAAGGATAGAAAAATGACGAAACACCAATATCTTTGAAATAAGCTTCTGTCTCAAATCTGATCATATATTTTCCAGGTATGAACTGTTCTTGAGTCAACAAGTTGGGAGCTCTCCCATCAGCATTAGTGACTCTAAAACAGTGATTAAAAGCACCGAACAAAATGTTAATGATAAAAAAATTATTAAGAATCAAGGGCATAGCCAGGATTTTTCAAAGGGGGGTCACACTGTGTCAAAGTGAGGGTACTCACCAGATTGTCATTTTATTTTTGCCACCTGTTGTAGGTTGTTGCTTAACAAAGGGTTACAAAAGGGGGAGTTGCCGGCATCCCAGGACCCCCCCTAGCTACACCCCTGATACTNTGGGGGGGGGGGGTCATGGGCACCCCAGGACCCCCCTGGCTATGCCCCTGTTAGGAATGACATTGGGTAGGCCAGTGACTTCACAAGTTGATTAACCAAGATAAGTTGCTGGTAAATTTCAATGACTGAGAAAGACACAACATTGTGTAACATTGTTAACCTTGGAAAACCAGCTGGTTGAATGGGTGGGTAAAAATGTTACTGCTAATTTTTTTACTGCTTTGTACATGGCTTTTCTTTGTGCTTGCTTATTGATCAGATTCACAGGTGAGCTTCTTAGCTAATAAATATACATGTGGTTACAAAACACCACACATTCAATATATCAATATTCTAACATGGCTCCAAGGCTTTCAGAACAAAATTGGCTATTTTTTAAGTTTCTTTTGTTCCCAAAAGAGACTTGGATACAAAGAAAACACCACCAAATATAGAAGTTTGTCCCAAAAGCCTCGGAACCATGTTAGAATAAATTGATATATTGAATTGGACCTATTGTGGCCCTTTTCATATATCAGAGACATTGCCAGCCCTTAGGCAGCATGTTTATCCTGCAATGGCGCTTAGTGACAATGAAATCTGTATGAGTAATTAAAAAAACTCAACAGAATAAAAACTTAGATGCTTAACTCTGTGTTTTAATTCAAATTGTCCTCTGATTACAAATTCAGTCCTCGTAGCTAGATATTTTTTACTGCATAACAATAGTCTCACCCTGATGCAATGTGCTTCCACATTCTACTGTCCGGCCGTATTTCTTCAAAATAGAGCTGTATCTGGAGGTTCCTGGCAGGTGAACCCCTGGCTGTGTCCAGCACATGAGTAGTGAGAGGGCTTCCAGTCATTGGACTACTGAAATCAGCTGAGCGGTGCTGTTGAACCAGAAACTAACAGTCAACTGAAGATACAACAATATTGAACCCTCCTTCGTAATATTTTAATAAGTTGATATTTAGCAAGGGTAAATGAGATGCATGAAAGCATTCATCTTAGGTAATTATGATTTTCCAGTTGAAGGCCTATAGAAAAATGTTTACTTAGTGACTGAAGCTCACTTCAAGAACCCAGTGTGTCAATTTGTGTTTGATGCATTCAGCAATATCAAACAGGCTTTTACTGTTACCAAAATTGTTGATTTATATGATTTATAAATCTTTCATTAGAGCAGACCCCACAAGGCACCTGTAAGATGATCACTAACTTTTCAAATCCTAGTAAATAGCCTGATATCACATGATAATCAGGATTTCTATGCATTGATAACATACCCTGTTACAGACAAAGAGAACATTTGACTTACAAAATCACCCCTAAGTGAGCCCAAAAGTCTGTCACTTACCTTTTAACCTTACATTAAACCTTTCTATTCCTGTCAGTGACCACAGGGTTTGAAAATAATTAAGGTAAGGAGATAATTTGTTTGCTTATTAACACTCCACTACAGAAAATGCATCACAAAAAGAACAACTTCAAGAGGCATTTACTTCTTTATTAGTTTCAAGGTTTTTCTTAAAATAGCATGTGCAATGATCACATCATGTGTCTTATTTTTGGAGAAAGAAGGGGGGAAGGGTTATGGGGTGGAGGGAGAAGAAGACAAGTGGTAGTGAGTGTCCTGATCATAAGGATCCAAAAGCCGAGAGTCTACTTACCATATGGTGTGAAGACGATGTAGAGGATGATGAGGAAGCCATAGCTGGCACTGTTTGACAATAAACAACTCTTGAGTTTGCAAGACCAGTGGGATTATTTCCAGCACGAGCTACTGAGGTTTGAGAGAAAGTGTAACTACTTGCAGTAGTTTTAAATGATGCTTGGAGTTGATTGCGTAGATTATGTGAGGACGCTGCTTGAAGCTGACTCAGTCTGTAAGCTACAAAAGAAGTATGCTGTCCCCTGTGGCCAGAGTGGTATGGCAGACCAGGCACAGGGTCTGTTGGACTGGATGCAGGGCTTGGATCTGTTTCCTTTTCAATGTCATGGCTATTTCCTTGAGACAGTGAAGTTCTGATGGTGCTGGGTGGGCTACAGTTTGAAGGTTGTGATTGAGAATGGTTTGGAGAAATGATGACCTTTGTGAGATGAGATTGTTCTTTGTTTTGCACCACATTAAATGGTGGTGAGCCAATGGGTGTTTCACCACGTCTTGATGATAGCATTTGCTCTGAGCTTGATATATACTTTCCAGTAACAGGCACCATGGTTGGACGCTCGTCACATGGTTCCCTGGGGAGGATGTGTTGAAATCTTGGAGCAGTGGGTAGAGATACCAGTGTAGTAATGAGAGGATAATCTTCCACGAGGCTGTCGAGAATTGACACATAAGTACCTCTAATGCAGTTGTTTGTGTATATCCTGGACAGCCGCGCTAGTTTGGACATGTTTGTCATCATTTCACCCAGTGAATTGTGACCAACTGCTGCATTTTCATACCAAATAGGATCATCTTCGCAAGCATGGTGTTTGAAGGAAGCTTTGGGTCTCTGCCACAGGTACAGGTTCATTGGGTTCAGCTTTGAAAGGTACTTGAGGAATGATGCAACTGGGCACCTTGGATTTCCTGAGGGATGGTACAGTAAAAGAATCACTCAAAATTCTACTCATTGGCCTTAACAATATGGGCAAATATATTCAATTTTGTTACAAACGTACCTCTTGGAATACAGAAATTTTTTTTATAGGAACTAGAACGGGTTTTGTTTGTTGACGCTGTTATAGCATGTTCTGAGGCGTTTTCTAACTATCATGGTATATAGCTTGAAGATTACTTAGGCACAAACATAAGTCTTATTTAACAAATATTAGCCCATCCCCTCTTCAAGACTCTCTACAATTTATCAATAATATTAATCACTACTTAGTAATAAGTCCCAGGAAAACGAGTTTTCGGAGTTAAGGGTTCTTTGCAAGTTTATAGTTAAGATTGAGTGAATGATTGAAAAGTACTCAGCTCACGAGAAAAAACGCAATTCCTATAGACACAAATTGTGGGTTAGCCTCACTAAATTTATTTTTAACCTCATTTAGTCAGGTTAACGTTTCCTTTATAGGATTACCGAATCAGGTCGTAAATATTTCAACAAAAATAATATTTTAAAATTTCTTTGAGTGAGATTTGTTTTGATGACAAAGAAAATCCAAGAACTTGCTTTCTTCAATTGAGGTCTTTCCCATCAAAGAATCGACACCATGTTGTGATAACCAGTGACAGAATGCGGAACAGTTCTCTGAGTTCAACACGTAAGCTTTCTAAATAGACGTCTTCTTTTCTTTTTCTTAGCTTTTATAATTGGCTCTAAAATAATCCAACTAGTTGTTTTAATACGCTGTTGAGCGTTCGCGCGCTTTTCTGTACAATGCTCAGCTTACCTGGTTTTTCATTCATCCGCGGACATTTTCCGTCAGTGAACACATTTTCACAATGGGCAGGATTAGGGTAAACGTACTTCAAGCCCGTAGCTGAATGATACCCGATCAGAAAAGTGTCCCGGGTTTGCTCTCTCACGTTACTGCGGTTTCTTTTTCCTGGTAAATACATCAGCAGGTCAAAGAACACTTTCCTCTGCAAGCCATCGGCGCTGAATGGCGACAAGACCTCACTCAGATAAAGCTTCTTCAAATCGTCTGGCCCGATGTCCGAACGGTTAACTTCGCCTTTTCCTTGCTTTTTCAACTTTTCCACCTGAGCTTTGAATACTTTGTTTGACTCGGTGAATTCGGGGTCGTTTTTTATGTCTACATTGCTCTGTTGGGACTGTAAGTACCGCAGAATACCAAAGCGTATACTACCTAGGGCTGAGGATTTGTAGTAATCACCGTTCTTTTTGCGGGCTTCGACGTAGAATTTACGCAGGAGATCATTCAAAGCTGGTTTGTCTAAGTTCTCAAATTGGACATCCATGCTTTTCTCTTCCATATAGTCGCGGAGAATTTTAACTGCATTTTTAGTGGACCTCCATGTATTTTCGCTGCATGAGCGATGCTCCAACAACCTTTGAATGTCCTCCTCGGAAGTTTCCCCAAAGCGTGGGAGCGAGTTTTCGTCTGTTGGGCTTCCAAGCGAACTGGCTTCACTGTCGGGGTTATTTTCAGAGTTGTCAAAAGGTTCTACTTTTACTTCGGGGAGTAGAACGACAGAACTTGTTTCTTCGTCCATTATCGCACCAAAAGATAGCGGCAACGTATTAACCTACACAAGACTACAACGCAAGTTGACGCCGGGCAATATCTGGTGATGTCACACTTAAAAACTCAGCACAGGCCCTCGCCTGAGTTATTTATATCACACACAAAATAATCTGCTGGAGCTCTAACGCAGTTTCGACGTAGTTATCTAACGGAGAAAAAGATGTGTACGATTCAAACGAATCTACGTCTGTTCTTCACCTGACATCGATAGAACGATCGAAATCTTCGTTTCATTCGCTGTAATATTCTGATACCAACTGGTCCAATATGACTTAATCTTCATGAGATACTTAAGAGACTTATTTCTGTGGTGCCGAAAAGCTAGCATCGAATACTTGTTTTTTTTTTCAGTCGAGTGGAAACTTGAGGACGATATAGATCGTTTTCCGGAGAATATCTTCAAGTTAGCCTAAAATGATATCAACATTTGTTAACTTTCAAAAAAAGCGGGTATCGTCCTAGAAAACATGAATGTTCCTGCCTGTCTTATCGAGCTGTTCGTAGTTGACAGGCAAGACCAAATCATTGTCCTGGGCGTTTTCATGCAATAACGAAGTAATCGAGATAACAGTAACTCATATTGAATGCTCTTCTCCATATCTATCATAACTCCACATAATATTACCACACATGGAATTGTTGTATCATATCTTTGAGTAATTAATAGAAAAGTAGACAAGCGACTGTGAATGCAGTATATATTGACACGTATAACAATTAACAATATGGTAGAGCTTTTCCCAAGAGAGGATATTGGGTCAACGAAACTCCACGTCAGTTTAGTTCCACAGTTTGGGCAATATAATAAATGAGATATTTTAACGAAAAAAAATAAAAATAAAACTTTTAATTAAACTTCTCATTTCGAACTATCCAAGAACGGAAGGTAAAATACCAAAAGAAAACGGAATTCCATTTTCAATATTTTGACTTTCCACTAAAAACGAAGGACACTTTTAGTCAAAATTCAACAAATACGGCTTTTTAAGGTTTAGGACAAGGGAGGTCAAATAATGCTTTGTCCAGAAGCAATTACGTGTTAATACCCCAACGATGTATTTCAGTGATATATTACTTTCCGAGTACAAGAGTAGTGATATTGCTTTTTAGAAGAAAAAAAATGTAGTTTAGGCAAGCTTCCAAGGAAACTCTGAACGCAGAACGGTTCGTGTTTTGCTCCTGAAGACTGAATATTCTTGACACTGCCTAACAACCGCACTGATGTAGTGTGGAATAAAATGATATAGCATTTCAAATTTCAAGTTTCGTCAGCATGCCCTTGAAAACGTATTTAAATGATGCCATACCGACCACAAAATAGGCGCCTCTATTACAAACTAAATGCAATAAAAGCCAATACAACCATGCTGTTCTCAAATATCACTGAACAATTTCGAAAGAATTTTCTATGCAGGCAGAATAAACCAGTTCCTCTCTCTCGCATATATTTATATTTGCATCTGGCTAAAAACAGCGTTCCACAATATATTTAAGGGAGACAATAGAGCTAGACGGAGTGAGCTAAGTGAAGTGGAAATTACTGGTATTCGTTTATAGAGAGATTGTTTTTTAAATTTAGTAACAAGGATATGTGCTAGTCTTGCTAGAGGGCTTTTCGTACGCGCCGCAGGTATATCCCTAATGTTGATAAATTAAAATATCAGTATTTATATGGTGTAAAGTTATGAGTTAGAAACTTGGTGTTTTTGTCTCGTTGGGGCTTTGCGACGTTGAAGAATTGAATGACCATAATTTTTTTGGTTTTCACTCTCGGATACTGAGGCCCTGTCCACGCTACGCCGGAGGAATTTAAAACGGTGTTTTCATTCTGAAAACACATCAAATGTTTTTCGTCCACACTGACCCGGAGAAATTTAAAAACGCAACAATAACCGGTCATTTTGGATTTGTGTTTGACGAAAATTCGGTCAGGGGAATCACGTGATTATCGCAACGTCATCATTTTCGAAAAGCTCCGTTTTCAAAATGTTTTCCGTCTACTAGTCCACATTATAACGCAAAGACGGCGTTTTCAAATTCCTCCGGTTTGAAGGGCGTTTTCAAAACGCTCCGTTTTCGTGACGGATTAGTGTGGACGGTAGGCCTAACGGTAGAAATAAAACTACGTTTTTAAATTTCTCCGGTGTAGTTTGGACGAGGCTTAAATGACATGAAACAACCACTTTACTCAGCCGTTAGCTTAAGACGAAACATGAGTAAGTGGTGATAGCTTTGGATGCGAAATTANAGCCGTTAGCTTAAGACGAAACATGAGTAAGTGGTGATAGCTTTGGATGTGAAATTAGACGTCCTTAGTTTCTGCGCCATTTGAAGTTGTAACACAGAGGCCATGAGGTCGTCGCCTTGGACAAACTAAAGTGAACAAGTAACTGATTGTAACTGGCCAGCTTTCACCGACTTTATGTCCGCTTTGCAATATTGTTTCTTCAACTTTCCCTTTACACTAGTGAGAGCTGTAGAAAACATAATTTCCGACGTAACTTAAATTATCACCAGATTGGCTTTGCTTGAGAACAGATGCAAGTTAGCATTGTTTGTTTTTCGTTTTATGTCCAAAACTTTAAAAAAATGAACATACATGTATACAGGTTAATATTTTCGTTTTTTATCAGCCAAAGGGCAATATAAAATAATGAAGAAACAAAAACGAACCGTTTCTCAACATACCGCCTGTTTGGTCAGGTTTAATGCTCTCCTTTGCTCGGAACATCTGATGTTATGCAGACTACATCAGTTGTAGTCCGCCAGACCAAAATAAAAATTATTGCGTGGCTAAACACCGTTTTGACCAAGCAACAAGCAGGAAATTCCATCTTGTTTTGATGGCATGATGTCAACACAATCCAAAATGTAGTGCCTGTCAAGGGTTACACTACATTTTTCCGGCAATTAGAAAGCAACAAATCAAATAAGGGCAGTGCTCTGTCATTCTACTAAGGAATATTCCAGTTCATTGTTGAGCGTTCTCTATCCCAGGGGAGCTTCGTTAGCGGGTGGTTACAAATTTCTGTGCGCTAACTGTAATGCTAGCTACATTGGCGAAACCAATCGTCATTTTTCCACGCGCTTACGTGAACATTTGTTTTCCGACAAAAGCTCTCACGTTTTCAAACATCTACAGGCTTCAGACGAATGCTGTAAGTCTTGCGGAGTCATTCATCATTTTGGACTCTGCCGCAACAAATTTTCAAGTAAAAATTAAAGAAACCATGTACATCAGTTGGGATAAACCTGCTTCAAATCAGCAAACTTGTATACTCCAGTGGTAACTGACAACGACAGACGTTACTGTCGAAACATGTATTTAAAACTGAAAAGATGAAAAGCGCTGTCTTTTTTTTTTATTTATTAGTAGCCTACTGCTCACAAGACCTGTTGTATTGGCGATCATGAGGAGATCAGATGAGCGTCGGCAGTTTTCTCTGAAAAACTAAACGTATGAAATTTCTCTATTACAAAAGATAATGTTTGTATCCTCCTTCCAATAATTTCAAGTGAGCTTTTATTTGATTCCCTAAAATTTTTCCTCAGTGACACATAAGCTTGATTTGCAGCCATTGAATATAACAATATTGTTCAACGTGGTTGCCACACACATCACTTTTCAAAATTTCCTGACTTTTCCCTGATTAAAATAAAATTTCCCTCACCAAGTAAACACAAAATACCCAACGAGAAGCGATCACCAGCCTTCCCTTAATACATCCGTCCTTTCAACCCATTCATTTAAGACTGACAAGTTTTCAACAAAGACAGTCACAAATTCTTCATGATTTGAGGAAAAACATTGCTGAGATCACAGTAACCTGAAATGATTCTTCCAACCTTCAATGGTATAAAATCATTAGTGTTATTATTTTGACCTTCCCTTGCTTTTCTTCAAATTGGCAATGTTCCCATTTTAAAATAAAATTCCTTGTGCCAAAAAATCAATCAGCTACTGAGTGG